GGGGGGTGATAATAATAGTTTGAAGATTGTTTACCTAATATATAGTAACATACACTCCAACTGAGCTGTATTTGGAAAGAGTTCTGATTCGGTGTTGGTCATATCAACTCTGGCCACCTTTAGGAACTCTTTCCAATACAGAGCCAGAAATAGTGTATTCGGGTAGGTGAACTATGATGACAGGGGGTGAGGGGGACGGGGGAGGGTGAAGTTAAAAATATGCTGACATAGTCTATGGCCTAACAAAGGGAGTATCACTGATTGCCTTCTTGAAGGTGTCAAGTGATGGACTGCTGCAAGCTCCTAACGGGAGGGCGTTCCATTGGACTATGGTTAGGGGGAAGAAAGAGTATTTGTAAAAGTCCTTATTGGTAGGGATTTGCCGAAAAGATAGGGGGTGGGCATTTCTTGATAGTCTCGTTGGGTGGACTACATATGGTGGCATTTGGATTGCTACTGTCTGGTAGACTATTTTATAAAATAAACACAGTCTGCTTTTGGATCTTCTGTGTGCTAATGTTTGCCAACCCAGACTCCCTAACATGTCTGTTACACTGTCCAGAGGGGAAAATTTGCCAGACACCCACCTAGCTGCTCTGCGCTGGACCATTTCTAGTTGTTTACTTTGATCTTGGGTGTATGGGTCCCAGACACAGGCAGAATATTCTAATTTAGGGCGAACCAGTGCCGTGTACGCTGCAGCCTTTACCTTTTTGTCTTTCACCTTGATGTTTCTTTTTATATATCCTAAAGTTCTGTTGGCTTGGCTACTTACATTTTGGATGTGTTTATTCCAGGTCAGGTTTGATGATATGGTGACACCAAGGTATTTTGCATGTGGAATAGTTTCGAGTACTTGTCCGTGTAGCATATACTCTGTGGGGATTTGCGTCTTTGACCTGGATATGTGTATTACCTGGCACTTGCTCGGGTTAAATTCCATATCCCACTGTTTTTCCCATAACTGTAATCTGTCAAGGTCTTTTTGGAGTCTGTATGCATCTTGTAGTTTACTTACCACTAGGTAGATGGCAGTGTCGTCTGCGAAGAGACGCACTGTTGATGTTATATTTAGTGGCAAGTCATTAATATAAATTAAAAATAAAATTGGGCCGAGGACCGAGCCCTGGGGTATATCTGATGTTACCGAGACTTTTGATGAAATAGCTCCCTCGGTAAAAAAAGTTTTCTGTTCAGATGTTGATTTCCGTAAAGCATTTGACACTGCCGTGAAGATATGTGTATGGGCAAATGTAATAAAAAGTAATTGTCATACATAGAAAGTATTGTTGTTGTCAATAAATTACTATTTTTTGGAAGACTATGTAGAATGGGCAGGAACACGTTATCATTTAAGATCTTTTTGAATCTATTGATTACAGCAGTTCTATTGATGGATACAAATTGTTTGATTAAAAAGCAGAGTTTCTCTCCAGATTTATTAAGAATAATTCAGAAGTATAGTCTGAACAAATATGTGCATGAATTTATGGATAATTGTAATTTTCCTGATAAGATGAACTAGAAAACTATTGTGAAAGTGTCTGTTTTAACCAAACAGGAAAATGATTTTAGAGAACGTATTTCAAATGACTATGATTTTAGCAAATTAAAAAATATCCATGATAAGTTAATTACAACCGCACTGTCTATGGTTGTTATAAAATAATACCCTTGATACAGATATAAGAAACATTTTATAATGAACCTACTTGTAATAATAAGAAATAGTAGAACTACAAAACTTTGTCACAAGTGTGGTATGCTCTACCAAGATCATACAGAATATGTTGTATTAAGATGAGTTTACGAGTACTATTAGAGATAAGCTATGGATGGATATAGACAATATACACGACATACATTCACTATCTGAAGATGAAATTATGTATCATCTGATTGGAGACGAAGTTAACTTCAGGTTAGAAAATAATGAATTGGAAGAATTTAGAATTACTTCTGTGGTAAATGTCTATAAAATGTTAACAATTTGCAGCATCTGATTTGAAAGTAACTCTGTATATCAATATGTTTAATTACTAACTACAAAATTATTTACGACACTTTCTTTATTAATCACATGCTTATATAACCGATAGGGAGAATTTTATTGTATAATGTACGCAAACCTTACCATATGTCCAAAATCATATATCCATTTTTTGTGACATGTATGTAATTATCCATTGTTTTGATTTTGCTATTGTATTATTTTGTCTTAAATAAATATGAAATATATTGTAATATTCAAAGCATTTGACACCGCCGTGGAGTTAGGTTTATGGGCAAATGTAATAAAAAGTAACATTACAGGACAAATCTTTCACGTTATATATAACATTTACACGAATACAAAATCGAAGGTTACAAACATGAATAGTAAATCCGATTTCTGTAACATTGGGGTAAAGCAGGGTCAAAGGTAAAGATCTCTCTCCGTTATGTTTTCAGTCCATCTCAATGATACGGAAATATGTTTTGTGCAAAACAGTATCGAATGCCTTTTAAATATATGTTTTAATTGACCAGTTTATTCAACATTGCTGTACAGAAACAGGAAATTCATGACGTGATCAAACGAACGCAATACTCAAATCTCAATTTGAGTTTTAGACCATATTAAGTGAAACAAAATAGAATAACTGTGTGTAAATTCCGAACATCTCATACTAGCCGATTGTCAACTAATCACATTCTTACGCACTCTTCGACGCGATTTGCTTATGACATTCATGAAAGTTTTTTGATGACCCTGCCAATCATTTCTGTTTTCGATACAAAAGGAAAGAAATCGCGAAAATAAACACATCCAGTGTATTGAATATGGTCAATATTTTTTGAAAAATTCGTTGTTTCGAATACATAATTTTCCTGCTACGTTACATGTCGCTCTATTATTCGATTATGCATATTTACGGGCTCCATGAACCGGAAGAGGTCACCGGAAGTACGAAATGTTTCTAGGCTGTAGCTGTACGATTCAGTGATAGAATCAGTTTGGTTGGAACAGATCTATTTACACGCACATGTTACCGGTAAAGAGCTCCGCTCGGGTGCCTATGGCATCCGAGAGCTTCGCTCTTATAAGGACATAGGTCATCATAACAAGGGTGGAAAATGAACAGAAACAACATAATTACAGTTTCGTAACAAGGTAATAGCAAAGTAACAACAGATAATTTGATAAATGTCACGTTTACGAACATTGCAAAACAACCTAATCTGGAGCACGTTTTCGGAAATCCGATTCTCGGATTTGTTGTTCACCTACCCACTCCTTGAATAGTTCTGCATTATTAAGGAACCTATAAATGACCAACCACTTCATGATTTTTACGGACATTGCAAAAGTCTTCAAACCACAGCACAAGTCGCATTCAATAATTCTAGCACATCCCAACCACGTACTCATTTACAGCTGAGTAGACTGGGTCAAGTTGAGTAAAGTATCTTTAAAGTATCTTGCTCAAGGATACAACACATTGCCGTGCCGTGCTGTGACGCGAACCCGCAACCCTTCGTTCACGAGCCTGGCGTCCTACCACTAGACTGCCGTGCCTCCCGAGTTATGTATGTATATTGTTAAAGATTAGTCACAATATTTCATAATCCGTTTTAAGATAAAACGTATCTGAAATGGAACATTGAAAAGTTGTATGTGCAGTATATAAGCTGTAATGAATGAGATAAAAAGAAATGAACAAAGATACAAAAACAATGCTAGAAGTAGTATATATTCTTAACAAGGTAAACAACATTCACTTACGTTTATGCGACTTGTGCTGTGGTTTGAAGACTTTTGCAATGCCCGTAAAAGTCATGAAGTGCTTGGGCATTGATAGGTTCCTTAATAATGTAGTACTATTCAAGGAGTGGGTAGGTAACAACAAATCCGAGAACCGGATTTCCAAAAACGTGCTCCAGATTAGGTTGTTTTGCAATGTGCGTACAAGTGATTGATTATGTAAAGGTTACCTAACAATGCTGAGTGAACTATTTAATTCCTAGTATCGGATTTCTAAACTGTGTGTGAAGATTCCCGCTATTTTCGATGCGTCTGACAATATATAATAGTTGTTTCTCGGTCACGCGTCCTAGTTTTTAAGTGTTGTTAGCTTCATGTAAAATACACGTATTCGTTTATTTTGTGTACCATGTATCTGACATTTTAAGTGTGGGGTTAGTTATTACCATTCCATTCTTAACGACCCATCAACAAAGAGCTAATAAATAGTAGCATTGTGGGGGTAAGCTTTTCACGACAACTGACACAGATGGGAGTATAAAGCATGCTGGATCACGTCCAATATACTAGATATTTCTATAACCTTTATTTATTTTACAACAATCATGCAACAAGCTTTTACGACTTATACTAATCACTCTTATTGGCCCGAATGTAAGCGCGCGGAGGTCTTACTGTGTGAGGATACCGGAGTACCCGGACACAACCCACGTGTTTAGGAGTTTTTTCGGAGTAACTTTGCTGCTTATCTTGACAAAGCTGGCTTGTTACTGCACGATTTCTCACCCCGACACGATTTCTCATCCGGGTGAGACATCGTTCTAAAAGTGCTGCGGTCGCAACACGATTTCTCACCCTAATACGATTTCTCACCCGGGTGAGAAATCGTGCAAAACATGGGCATAGGTGAAACGTTTTCTCATCCGGCACGATATCTCGCCCCAACTCTCAATAAGGGATGGATTTTGTCCGTGGTGTCTTAAGTTACCTAAGTGTACATGTAATATATGAGCTGACATGATTTCAAATGAGTAGTAGTTCAATGTACTACATGCCTTGTATGTATTGGTTGATTTATCTATCTATCTATTTATTCATATCTTATTATATAATTTATTGCTTTTTACCGAAAGTCGATCTTAACCCCTAAAACATATAAAACATACATTTTATAACTTCTTGTTTCTATGCTATAAATATTGGACTAAATGTTCAAGGTTTTGTCCATATAAATAAATGCACCACTTCTGGTCTTTATAGTAGTGTTTTTGTTATATAATGTTGTTTGAAACGTTTAACATGTACCCGTACCAATTACCTTAAAAGTGAGTCAAGTGTGCTGAAACCGTTCAAGGTATCTGCTGGTCAAATATTAAGACTACTTGGCACAGGTGGTACGTAAAATTAGTTGATAGACAACTGATGTACAATACCACAGCATAGCATTACAGACACTTCGAGGCAGGAGAGCAAAAATATTTGATAAACAATGAAATATAGTAACTTGAAACTAAAAAAAGACCAGAAAAGGATTCGAGAAGAGACATATAAACAAACCATCGTTCAAAAATTAGTGAGACTGTGATAGGTGTTGCGGAAAATTAAACGCATTTTACATCATATTATGTAATACCTGTCGTAATGTCTCTCACCTTGTTGAAGGTCACCCGCTTTCTAAACTCAAGTGAGTATGTTTAACATTTTGTATGCACTGGAATGCTTTAGCTGCAAATCAGATGCAAACAAAATCCGATACTTTTAATTTGTTATGATAAAGTGAACCTTATTTTTTAATCATACCATATGTATTTTGTTCACATAGATTCAGTGAGGCGACAAACCGGTAAACGTTTACGGTGACCCGTTACGCAATCCGGTCACCTATATTAATCCGTTAGGATATTTCAACACGGGTTCCGACATCATCAGTATCGTACGAGAATCTACATGTCGTCAAGCAAACAACAGCTAGTCGATGTAAGTCATTTATTCCTCTGAATTTAGTGTCCTTAAACTGTCGCTCGGTGCCCGAAAATATGAAAATGAAATGAAAATATCCGCGTAGAAAAATAGAACCGTAGAAATGCAGAGAAACAGTGACGAAGGACCAAATTAACCGTTCACCAACAGCTTTACAGGGAACAATGTCGGCTAGTTGGTTCACTTCTCATTCAGTCAAAGAAGGCTTATTATTTCGAAAGAATTGAAGAATGCATGTGCATGTAATAAAGACCATAGACAGCTTTTTAGACTCACCAAAAACTTAATGGGTCAGAAAGGTGAAATTGTCCTACCAAGCTGTAATTTTGAAAAAAAGACTTGTTAAACAAGTTCAGTGATTACTTTCTGAATAAAATTAGCTTGATCAGAAAAATATGTCGGACGTGAACTCTACTGCTGAAAATAATATGATTGCTGACATAAAATTTGATGGGGAATCATTGACAAAGCTGTCACCAACACAGGACGAGTTGTGCAATATCATCATGACGTCCATAGGCAATATTTATTGTATAGTAAATGGATCATGTGACGTTGAATGATTGCCTCTGAATTCGGCACGAGGTAGATCTTGACATACCAAAACGTAGATAACGTTGTCAGGGTTAAGATGAAGATTCCACACATCAAAGAACTCATTTCTGTTATCTATTGTACTAGTGAAAATTACAACAAACACGTTATTCTTTTTATCTCCTCTTTGGTGATGTCTCGTGTTGAGAGAGACTTGACCTAGCTAGCTTTTATTCGAGAATATAAAGTTATTAATATTTCGATTGGTAGGCAATTTGATTTGATAAAATGTATAGCTTGTATATAGATAATCCAACAATTGGTTACCAGACCAATACAGTGGTCAGCTTTCTTTGTGTTATCAGGTTACAGGACCAATACAGTGGTCGGCTTTCTTTGTGTTATCAGGTTACAGATCCAATACAGTTGTCAGCTTTCTTTGTGTTATCAGGTTACAGGACCAAGACAGTGGTCAGCTTTCTTTGTGTTATCAGGTTACAGAACCAATACAGTTGTCAGCTTTCTTTGTTTTATCAGGTTACAGGACCAATACAGTAGTCAGCTTTCTTTGTGTTATCAGGTTACCGGACCAATACAGTGGTCAGCTTTCTTTGTGTTAATCAGGTTGCAGGACCAATACTGTGGTCAGCTTTCTTTGTGTTATCAGGTTACAGGACCAAGACAGTGGTCAGCTTTCTTTGTGTTATCAGGTTACCGGACCAATACAGTGGTCAGCTTTCTTTGTGTTATCAGGTTACCGGACCAATACAGTGGTCAGCTTTCTTTGTGTTATCAGATTACAGGACCAATACAGTAGTCAGCTTTCTTTGTGTTATCAGGTTACAGGACGAATACAGTGGTCAGCTTTCTTTGTATTATCAGGTTACAGGACCAATCTAGTGGTCAGCTTTCTTTGTGTTATCAGGTTACAGGACCAATACAGTGGTAAGCTTTCTTTGTGTTAATCAGGTTGCAGGACCAATACTGTGGTCAGCTTTCTTTGTGTTATCAGGTTACAGGACCAATACAGTGGTCAGCTTTCTTTGTGTTATCAGGTTACAGAACCAATACAGTTGTCAGCTTTCTTTGTTTTATCAGGTTACAGAACCAATACAGTGGTCAGCTTTCTTTGTGTTATCAGGTTACAGGACCAATACAGTGGTCAGCTTTCTTTGTGTTAATCAGGTTGCAGGACCAATACTGTGGTCAGCTTTCTTTGTGTTATCAGGTTACAGTTATAAATCATATAGGTCTGTCCTTAGGTCCTCAAGTATGACTTGACCATGACTGGTCAAACTGACCAATAGATGTCATGTCAGCAGGGCACAAGAGCCAGCAGCTGACCAATTAAATGTTTACTCCCTACGGAAGAGAACCCCCATGGCCAACATGCTGTCCCCCAAGCTAACATCTCATCACTTTCGAATTCTCTGGCGAAGCGGCAGCAGGCATTTTATTTCTGTATATATTACCACAGAGTGACTGATAATGATGTCACGCTCTGTAAATTAACCTGTTTGCAGCTTGCTTTTGCTCTCGTCGCATATATGGAATATCAAACCGCTGATATTTAATAACTATGTACAGTATCATGAAGTCTATCTCCGACTAATTTCTATATTATATATATAAATACATATGTAGCATTACTATCACTACATGTTGATTTGGGTGATTTGGAGGACCATAGTTTAAGTTTAAACTACAAAATAATGATAATGAATTATTGTTATTTTACTGTTTAATAAATTAATATAATTATTTAATGCGCTTATAAATCATGGTCTGAAGTTCACCCAAACCAATCTTGCATGCTGTTTCTTTGTATGTTGTTTCTTTGTATGTTGTTTTTTGTATGCTGTTTCTTTGTATGTTGTTTCTTTGTATGTTGTTTCTTTGTATGTTGTATCTTTGTATGCTGTTTCTTTGTATGCTGTTTCTTTGTGTGTTGTTTTTTGTATGCTGTTTCTTTGTATGTTCTTTGTATGCTGTTTTTTGTATGCTGTTTCTTTGCATGTTGTTTTTTGTATGCTGTTTCTTTGTATGTTGTTTTTTGTATGTTGTTTCTTTGTATGTTGTTTCTTTGTATGTTGTTTCTTTGTATGTTGTTGCTTTGTATGCTGTTTCTTTGTATGTTGTTTTTTGTATGTTGTTGTTTTGTATGTTGTTTCTTTGTATGTTGTTTTTTGTATGCTGTTTCTTTGTATGTTGTTTCTTTGTATGTTGTTTCTTTGTATGCTGTTTCTTTGTATGCTGTTTCTTTGTATGCTGTTTCTTTGTATGTTGTTTTTTGTATGTTGTTGCTTTGTATGTTGTTTTTTGTATGCTGTTTCTTTGTATGTTGTTTCTTTGTATGCTGTTTCTTTGTATGTTGTTTCCTTGTATGCTGTTTCCTTGTTTTTTCTTTGTATGCTGTTTCTTTGTATGTTGTTT